TATATAATAGCTACAATAAAAATACGCAATTCTCTGATCAGTTAGTTTTGTGAACTATTTTCTTAATTAATACCCCGCGGGAGAGACACTCTTGAGAATGCGTTCAACAGGAAAAATGAGGGGCATGAGGTTTCTACAGATTCCAGTTTCTATTATTTTTCCGCGAGACGATCTCTTTTCTCGAACGCGAAAGAAAAAACATCGAAGGTAGCAATGACACGCTTCTCTCTCCGTGTCCGGTCTCTCGTCCCTCGCCGGTATTACGTCCTCAGTACGGCTTCGATTGTAATTGTTTGCGCCAGTGCGAATACGTACCGGATTTCACATTAAGTCCCCTTTACGGCCTCTAAGACTCGCTTTGTTTACAGGATCTCATATTTCAATGCCAAATAAATGGACATCGCACGACAAGCTTTAGCGATCACTATTAAGCCTCATAGAAGAAAAATGACAGTAATGTCAATGATCGATATCGTTCCCTTACTTCAAAGTTCAAAAGTGACACAATACAAATAATTATACTAATAAAAAATGTTTGGTATTTGCGACTATAATTGCATAGTAAAATAATTATGATTGGAAGCTTCATTTTCATGATTATTACTGTTATAATATTAGTAATAAAAATTATATGTGACAGTTCTCTCAAACATGAAAAAATTGTGCTATGAATTATGATAATTTTAAATATTAATGTAGTGAAGTATCAAGATACATAAATGGTAAATAAAATAAACAAATAAATTTTTATTCAATAAATGCAATCGCAAAATAATTATAACAAATATAATTATTTTCTTAAATTCACTTATTATTTATGTGGTAGTAATAATTAAAAAATATATTTAGATAAAACTGATGATTTTCAAACTATTATTAATAGCACAATTGTGATTATATTTGATTTGGTTAAAGGTTTAGGATTTTTTGTAAAGGCTCACTTAAATTAATTTTCCGAATTACGTCAAATTAGTGTTCTATCAAAGTAATTAAATCAACTTTCTAAAGAATTATCTTGTTAACTGGATTCTTAAATTTGCATTAAACTTTTCAATTTGACGTTAAGTCGTAGGGAATAACTAGTTATTTCCTCAATTTGCGGGACGACAAGCGTTTCACAACGAAGATCGTTAATTATAGTTTCTTACCATGATGATAAACCAAAACACCTTTTCTAAAGGCTAACTACCTTTAAGGCGAGCGTTATCACATAGATGTTACGTCATCGCGTGAGTGAGCCCGTCTTTATCAAGTTGAAATTAATTATACAGACTGCCTGTGGCTCGACCGACTGTCACTGATAAGTAATACGTTTGCATGTATATTTGTATGCGTACACGTACACACTAGTATATGTTTATTATGCATGGACATGAGTCAGCTGATTTCATGATTTATTCATTAAATGAAAAGTCAAGTAAGTAGTAGATTTATATTTCTTTTCTGTTTTTTTACAATTATCTCGTCTGACAAACATATAGATCTTATATGATCTGTGGATAAATATCGCTCGATAAGAACAAGTATGTGGATTCGATGATTTTTCAAAATTTT